GTCGTCGCGGCCAACATCCAGGGTATCCTGGCTACCAGAGCTGGGGTGTTTCAGGCGTTTGCTCAACGACATGCATCCATCCATCCATGACTAAACACCAATGTCATCAATGCCATAAATTTCCCGTAACGGAAACACATCATACATAGTCCCTACGTACGTAAATTTCCATGTCAATCTGGCCACAGCATATTTCCACAAAGTCGTAGCGGTGAGCATGTCCATGAGTCTATTAGCACTGCATTCCTGAACCCAGAACCCAGAATCAGTTTGCCCTCCTCTACTCCGTACATAAATGAAAACAAAAGAAAACTAATTCGCATCGCGGCGACGCTTTCGGACACCTTCTCCCTCCCCCCCCCCCCCCCTCAACATGACAGAATCATGGGCATGAAAACCCGCAGTAGCCAAAGTAAGTGCCCTGCGGCAGGATCCTCCGGATGCCAGCCGTGAAGCCGTCGTAAGATCAACAAACGACACTCCATCTCGTGCTACTTTGCACCATCGCATTTCCTCGCCCCGGCCCCGATTGCCAGGTGAAGGCATAAAATCTGACAACGAAAATAACAGAGAATAAGGTTGCTTGTCGTAGAATTGCTCATTGGCATGTTACGTGGTCAACATTCTCCAGATTTTGTGCTCGTGTCCGTATCCTGAAAGTCCGTTCAAAGATGATACCTGCCTCCTCCCTGATAGCATATGCACCCCCCCGACCCTGTGTCTGCCCCAACATCAGCTCCCGCGGCGCCTGGGCGTACCATCGCTCTCTAATTATAGTAGCCATTCATGCGCCCAACCTCTTCCTGCTGCTCGGCGAGGTATTCTTCGAAATAAGGGTGGTTGCAGGCTTGCTTGGCCGAGATGCGGCCCGCCGGGTCATATACCAGCATCATTTCGAGGAGCTCTAGGCCCTTTTGATCCAGGTTTTGGCAGAGGGGTTGCCTATAGTCTCTCTTCCACTTAGGGAATGATGATTTAAAGTCGGGGTATGAGGTGACGCCAGGCCAGACCTCCTCATCTGGAGTACCAAGGTTTCTAAATGACGCAATGAATTAGTCCCAATTCCGCATGAAAAATACCCATCATGTTTTGAGAGTATATTTCAGGAGTGGAATGGAGGAGGAGGAGGGGAACTTGCCGGAAAATCTTGAAAATCTCGTCAATTTCCGAGTCGCCGGGGAACAACGGTTTCCGGGTACACATTTCGGCAAAGATACATCCCACTGACCACATATCGACACCAGTCGAGTATTGTCTTCCGCCGAGTAAAATCTCCGGAGCTCGATACCACAACGTCACCACTTCATGGGTATACGTTCGCAAGGGCACGCCAAAGGCACGGGCAAGGCCAAAATCAGCCAACTTCAGGTTGCCCTCCTTGTCAATCAGCAAGTTTTGGGGCTTCAAATCACGGTGAAGCACTCGACGTGAATGGCAGTACTTGATGCCCTCGCACAACTGCATCATAAACTTCCGGACAACAACTTCGCCAAGGCCGAGCTGCATAATGGTCGCTGAGGATCCCTCGGGCAGAGCTTTGCCTCGGCCACCATCGCTGACGGGTAGCGCCTCCATGTACCTCTTCAGATCTAGGTCCACGAACTCAAATACAAGGTAGAGCTTGTGGCCGTCGGAGTGGACAATGTTAAATAGGCGGACAATGTTGGGGTCTCTCAATTCCTTGAGAAGGGAGATTTCTCGGATGGCAGTGCTGGGGACACCTTCGTCTTCGGCTTCGAGGCGAATCTTTTTGAGGGCGACTATGCGGCCACTATTGGCAAGGTCACGCGCCTTGTAGACAACACCATAGGTACCTGGTTGAGTCAGTCCATCGTGCTTGACCATGGTGGGCAGCAGTAATTCATGCCACTCCTCGCTGGCTGCAGCAATTGTGCCACCGTCCCAGAGCAACTCATGAACTCACCCTCGCCAACCTTTTCCAGCTTCTGATAGTTATCCATATTGAAAGCGGTTCGGGGTTTCTCCCTCACAACAACAACAACAAGTCAGTGCGGGTCGAGAGCTGGTCGCGCTGTCGGGTGTAATTTCACAGCCGAGCGTCTAGGCGGATCGTCGCTGCGCAGGAACAGACAAAAGCGACGTCGACCGGGCAGAGGGAGAATTGTCGGTGGCGGATGGATGGACAATGGAACAGCTTGCCACTGCCCTTGCTCTCTCCCTCGGAATGGGGAATGGAACGACGTGGGGGTGGTGAGGCAAAAGCAGAAGGAAGAAATTCACAGATGGTCTGGTGTCGTCACCCCAGCAAGCAAGCGAGGGGTCAACACACACGCAAGAGTCGCGATGGCGCGGGGTGGACGCGCCTTGGCAACTGGGGGAACCGAAAATAAATGAAACAAAAAAATTTAATAAAAAAAATTTACAAAGGGGCAAGAAGAGTGAGAGATAAATAGCTGTGGTTTAGTCACATACGGCGGGCGCAATAAAACCGTTTCTCAACCAAGAGACGAAAATACTCTTGTCAAGTCCAGAAAGTCGGTGCAACTGGACCTGACAACTCGACAGGCAAGCTTGTTGCTCGTCTCGAGTCTGTGTTTTTGGGCAACCCTGTTTGTTGTGTTTACTTGGACTCGGCTGGCAACACACCACTCACGGCTCCTGAACCGTGGGAATGGTACTCGATTAGGTTTAGTTGGAAAGTTTAGCTGAGTTGTCCCTGCAACTCGCGTCTTCAGTCGGGCACAAGTTGCCATACTGCTTATCGATAAGGGACAGCCACCACTAGAACCCCTCAACGTTGCAATGCGCGCTTCCAATAATAGTACTCGCACCTGAAGTTGTAGTGTCGCTCATCATCTTCACCGACACCTCTGGCTTCTATATTTGGCTTAATATACATGTCCTTGACAAAAATTTTCCCCCAGGACTGGATTCTCATTTGACAGCAGATACAGTCAGCACGGTACGCATCCCGGCAGATGACGGGCTTGGTAAAGCAATTACTATGTACAACCAATGTTTGCCCAACCCTCGATTCTCATCACCAACACTCGGTGCAGCTCACTCTCCATGGATCATGACTCTGCAAGCTTCTTCGCCCCAGCACTTCCTTCTGCCCGCCTCAAATCCAAAATTTTACCCAAGTTCAGATGGCCCTTTGCTCCCCATCCGGATGGTCCAGCTTCCACATCTGGCCGCACAGAAACATACCAGCTCCAAGCCCTTCGATCGAGCTCGTCTTTCCGCAAAACGCCGGCCCAGCTCTTGTACAATAGCCTCAGCGCCCCAAGTAATCTCCCCAGGTTCTCTTGCTTCTCATCACTCACCGCCGTTAGCGTCTTCTTGGTCTCGCTCCCACCTCCGTCAACCGCAGCCGTCCCAAAACTCCGCAGGAGGTAGTTCCTCGCGCCTTCGGGGCGGTGAATGGGCATCCCCACCGTCGTAAGAGACGGCGTCTTGTTTTCAGGGTCCAGACCCCAGAGTGCTTCCCCAGCCAGCGTAGACTTTCGTCCGCGGGAAGACAGCGCGTCGTTGATGCATTCTCTCATAAGGCGCCATCTATCTGGACCTAGCATAATGCCGCCGTACCACCTCGTCAGCACAACGAGCGTGTTCGTGACATGCGCTTCGCGCATAGTTTGTAGCATAAACTTCCCACAGCCAGATTCTCCGTCGTCAAATGAAGCTTCTTGAACCAGTGGCGAGTTGCCATAGCTCGTTCGCAAGGCCCATGCGTTGTGGGTGGCTGTTTCCAGTTCCGGTTTATCCGTCATGAGACCATTCATCAAACTCGTCCGAAGAGAAGGCGAAGATAGGCTTGCGGCATGCGCTACAAATGTAGACGCTCGAGATGTCAGTTTCTGGCTCGCGACCCAAGCCTTTTTCTCGCCCGGCGACGATGACTCTGGCTTGCTATGCCCCTCTGTCGAACCTGTAGCCTTATCTTCTAGTTGATCCGATTTCCATGAATACCCGCTCCTTTTCAGAACTGGAATCTCGCGCCCCAAAACCCTGACTTTTGGCTGCCCCTCGGGAACCTGCTCCTCACCTCCAGGAGGCGCCTTCTCTATGCCAATGCTAATCGCCTTGGATCTCGAATTTGCACTAACGACCGCCTGGCCCAGGCTCAATCTGCTGCTCGGAGGCTGTTCCGGCATGGTAAAGCGAAGTAATTCCACCGCAAACGCAAGCACAAGCGGCGCTCTGTTTGTCACCAACGTCGTCTTTCGAATTGTCTCTTCGTCCTCAACTAGTGGCAAACTGAGCGAGCTTTCCAGCTCTTCCGCGCTCATCGAACTGTAGTCCAAGTCTCGTTTATGAGGCTCCAGTCTAGGTTTCTTGGAGGTGGGAGAGGTCGATTCTTCAGCAGCACGCTTGGTCGCCTTTTTCCCGTGCGTTTTGCACGCTGTGTGGAACGACTTGGCCAGTTTGGCGTCTGAGATGGCGGCTTCTACTGCAGAGAGAGGCGCTTCTGCAATTTGCTCAATGCTAATTTTTTTTTCTTCAATTGGTATCTTGCTTCTCAGAATGTGTCTGTGTTCAGATGTACCTTCTTAGGTTCTTGGCCTGGAGCGCCTTGATGTGACCCATTGCTGCCATCATGGGAACTTTGCGTGAAGTGAACAGGCGCAGCAGCTCCTGCAAGTCGCCGTGCCCCGACATGCTCAGAAATCTATCAAGTCGGCAATATCGTGACTGGGAATCTTTCTTTCCTCCCTTTTCTCGTTTCCTAGTCTTGGAATGTGTCCAGGGCGAGTTCTTTGTCAAGATCTGAATGTTGAAACAAGAAGCAACCTTGATGCGCGCTGCGTGCCTCGTTTCCCTGCCGTGAAGTGAAGCTTGGACCCTCTTCAGCCTCGAGAGGTTCTGCCCCACATCGGCTCCGAAGCGTCGGGCCGTTCACACATCCGGATCAGCCCTGACGTCTTTTTTAAAACATGCAAAACGGCTACGCTTGCCTTGTCACTATCCGGAATTGGAAGCTGACGCCAGATTCTGCGACCGGTCACCCATAGAAAACGAGCCATGCAGTACCAATGATGGTCACCACGCGTGGCTTCGCTAGAGCCACTCGCCTCCCCAGGCGTTTTGCCAGCACAGCTTCCAAAGCTGCTCGCAAACAGCCACCTGCTCCTGCTCCTTCTCCTCCTCCTCCTCCTCCTCCTCGCCTCTCCAAGTCCTATAAACCGTAAGTTGTCCCCCAACTCTACAGGAAACTGTCCGAGTCTCACACCTCAACTTCGTCGCAGCAGCCCTCGCAGCGCCCCATCTCAACCCCGACGTGCGCCGAATCCCTCACGGCCCGGCGATACCCTCCAGTCCCTCTGGCGCCGCTCGTGGCTCCCACTCTCCGGAGCCGCCCTCCTCTCCGGCTTCCTGGGCTTCTACATCATCGGCACCGCAGCCGCCTCCCTAAAAACCCGCCCCTGCCAAGCGTCCTGCGAGCACGCCGCGCCGACCGGCCGCCCGCCCGCCCTGACAGGCGACAATGCCGAGCAATTCGACAAGGAGCTGGACCTGCCCGAGCGGTGGATGGGCATCACCAAGCTGCGCAAGAAGCTGGCCGGCCACGCAAAAGGCCACGTGCTGGAACTGGCCGTGGGCACCGGCCGAAACCTCCAACACTACAACTGGGATGCGCTGGGCGGGACGCACCCAGCGCCGGGGAAGCAGACCGCCGCCGGGGGGATATCCTCGTTCACGGGGCTAGATATATCCGCCGACATGCTCGACGTCGCGCGCAAGCGACTCGTCGCGGCGGTCCCGCCAGTGGCCGATTCTGAGCCCAGCGCAGGGAGATCGGCGCTGGCGGACCACATGGGCGGGCGGCTGTCCTTGCTGGACGATCGGCTGCGACTGATTTGCTCGGATGCGCATCGTCCTCTTCCGCGAGCGGCGGGTGCAGGTGCGACGTACGATACGATTATACAAACGTTTGGGCTTTGCTCCGTGTCGGATCCCGTCGCGGTTTTGTGCAATTTGGCATCCGCTGTCAAGCCGGACACCGGTCGCATCATTCTTCTCGAACACGGCAAGGGATGGTATGGGCTCGTCAATGGTCTTTTGGATAAGAATGCAGAAAAGCATTTTGAGAAATACGGCTGTTGGTGGAACCGCGACATTGAAGCGCTTGTCGACGAAGCCGTGCAAAAGACACCAGGACTGGAAATAGTCAAGCTGGATCGACCAAACATCATGCAAATGGGTACTTTGGTCTGGGTAGAGCTACGCATGAGGGGCAAGAGGTAGGTCCGTGTGTGAATAAATAAATGTACGATCAAGTCGAGATCCTCTTGTACAGTAGACAATTAGACGGACAATGATTTCAGAAGCAGTGAGTGGCATATCATTTTGCGATCCTGTATGTGTCTGCTTTGCGCTCCAAGGCCAGTCTCCCCTTTTTGTATTCTAGAGAATCAACTGTTTGTTTCTCTTCATCTCCTCGTACATTAAATCATTCCAAAATCACACTCAAGACAATCTATATATACATGTACCTCTACCACCAACTCCTGAAGAGGCCAACAACAGACGAGAATAAATATCAAAACGTGGCGTCAAAAGACCCAACCCTTTCGGCTATGCTCATTTTATTGCCGCCTACTCCAATAACTCCATGCGCCTTGTGCAAAATATATGTAACCAATAAGTTAAAATTGTGGATATGGGTGGGAAAGTATTAATACGAGAATATAGTGTCATCAGCAAGTGTCCAACAGGCAGTCAAGCTCGTCGATCTCGATGCTTTCTGCGGTTCTATCCCATTCAAAGAGCAAGTTGAGCTTCAGCCAGCTGTCAGCATCGTCGTCTTTGCGCATTGTCGACAAGGGACTCGGCTTGATAGCCGGACTGGTCAAAAAGGCAGCGGTCGGAGGAGCACGGTCGCCGAACCACATATCGTCGCGATAGCCGTACTCAATAGTAGGGTTACGCTCGGCAGTCTCAGAACTAGTAGGAGTGTTGTCGTGGGTAAATTTACGTTTTTGAAGAACGTCTGCAGTTTGTGTGAACTCGCGTTCATCAGTTTCCAAAGGCGGAGAGTCCCGGCGCAAGTCTCTCCCATGTCTCAAGTGATTATTGTGAGTTTTGAAAGAACCCATGGGCGTAATTGCCATGCCCACGTCGTCCTCCATATCACCAAACTCCGGCGACGAGAGGTCTACCTCAGGGGAAGGACTCAACTCTCTTCGGCGACCATCAACATCGTCAGACCCAGAATCATCGGTCAAAGATACGGAGGGAGAGACGATAGCAGGGAGATTGATTGGTTGAGTGATGCTGGAATCCGGAAGAGGCTGTCGCGGGCAAGTAGTGAGAAAAAAGTACGTGCGGCGGGGGTGAACAGTCTCGAGTTCTTTAGCCAGGGGGCAGGGAACAAGAGCAGTCCAGCACGGCCGTTTCATGTATGAGGATAAGCGGGAGGAGATGATGGCGCACGGATTGGCAGATCTAGGCGAACAAAGGGGTCAGCGATTTGATCCAACGAAAACAAGGTTTGTAGTAGACGGGTAATAACTCACTGTTGGACAGAAGACAATGTCTGGGTGAGAACAGTCGCCAATTCTTTGATGAGGTGCGGTCTGTTAGCTGTCGACTGCAGCTGAACAATTGAGGCCTCAACAATGTCATCATTAATACCCTCCAGATCAACCTTGCGTATCGCGTCCAAGTCGGACATCTCGACGCTGGTGGCGGGGGTGGGCGAAGGAGGAGGCGTTTGCTCGACGATGCCTTCAGCGGGCGCAGAGGCGGCTCCGTGTGATCGCTTGAGGCGCTTGCTTGGATGTGAGTCCATAGCATCGACTGAAGGGTCTGAAAGATGCGCCGACGTAGCTGGAGAAGATGACGATGACGATGACGACGGAGAGGGAGGTCTTCTCGCGGCCTTTGTTGAGGCAGCGGCAGCGCGAGCAGCGTGCGTCACGGGAATGTGTATACCCAGGCTGGGCAGGGACAATGATTTGCGACGCGTGTTGTATGGCATCCTTGCTGTGTTTGCGCGGCGGAAGGATAATACAAAAAAAAGGGAAAAGAAAAGTCAAGGGATAAGGGGAAGGGGAGGGTTGATGCTAATGAGCCAAGTTGCGAGGCGAAGCTGAAAGGCGAGTCGACTCTCTATTAGAAGATACTTGGCGTAAAAGGGGGATACAACAAGGCTGTAGCGGAACAGTGTGAACTTCCCACGATGCAAAACACAGCAGGACGGGTTGCCCGGTTGCAGGATGAGGGAAAAATAATAAAGAAGGAGGGCGGATTTCGATAGTACACGAAGGGAGGGGATTCGAACAGCCAGCCGGCCAGGATGGGGATGGGGGACAGGTGAGGATTGGGACCTGGAGACATTTGGGACGGGAGGCGAAGACAGCCTCAGGCGATTTCCAGCGTTGGCTGGGAAAAGGCAGGCAAGCACGAGAGCTTGAACTTTTTTTTTTTCTTTCCCCTAACATCCTATTGGCCGGCAGCTGGATGCAAGCTTGCCGAAGTGGGACCGCTAAACGTCAGTGGGGCTGCAGCCATCGATGCGTCAAGTCAACGCTAGGTCGGCACAAAAAATGGGGCGAGGCGGACCAATGGCCTTTCACGGTGAGCTGGAAAAGCCGCCAGTGCGGCCAGTTTGGGTTGGACAGGGAGGCGCATTCCAGGCGGGACGAGGAACCCTGCCCGCTTGCCTGCCTGTTATGTTTCCATGACTGCGCAAGAAGCGTTTGGGTTGAGTTTTGGCGGGTGGAGAGGGTAGGAGCGAGCCATTGTCTGTCTTGTGTCCCTGTCACTGCATAATCTGATAGCCTGGTCCCTGGAGGGCGGTCAATCCAAACAAAAGAGAAAAGCCGTGCGTTACCGCCATTGCGAGTCAAAATGATGGTCATTTTGTCCTTTGTTTTTCTTCAGCCGCCACTTACACAACTTATGTACGTTATTCTCCATATAACTTACGTACGGAGGTTGCACGGGCAGTCACCGACAACATTGACGTCCTCGCTCTCCTGATTGAGCTTCCGAGTCCCTCCAACAGAAGGGGGCTTCGACGCCAGGGGGATAAGACAAGGACAAAACATGACAATGACAGTTCAGGGTGAGCTTGGCATTTTGGCTGATGAAGCTCGACAGTCTGTTCACGACTATCTTGGTACGTGGTGCACATACGAGGTACAGTAGTGTCGATGGAGCGGCATTGGCCTTGAAGATGACCAGCAGGCTGCTTCAGTAACCCCTTCGCATCGCGTGACCGCCTCTGCGATTACTACAATCAGAACGAACTCGAGGGCTCGTCTAATGCCAATTTCTTTTCTCGTCAGGACGTCGCCGATCAACGAGAGTCAAATTCTGGCATCGGTCGACCGTGTCATCGATTATATAACGAGCTGCTGTTATTTTGGTTGCAAAAGAAAAGAAACAAACCCCTCAGCATGGCACTGCATTTGAAAATAAAAGTTGTAACTGATGAACCATGTTTCGCTGCATGTCGCTCACCGCCCAAGAGGACCAACTGCCTGTGGTAGTACGGCACCATCTGGAAGTGATGTGCGGTTCGGGGGCAAGGCAGGGGAATGGCGCGCGTTTCAAGAGCCTCGTCTTGTTTGGCGTCATGTCGCTAGCACGACTGTGGCTGGGTGGCTCGATGCGATGAATCTGATTGCTCGCTGGTGTCCTGCTCGAGTCCCGGATAACGCCCCGGTGTCCTCCCAAGCGATAATAAGAGTTACATTGTGCAGTAGTACTACCGCCTGGTACTGGTTTACCCCGTACGGAGTACGGAGTACCTCTCTCACAATTGTTTGCCTCGCTGCAGCCTGCCATTGTCCCAGACCAGCTGAGTTGGGATGCGACCTGACGAAGCTGGCCCAAGCCGAGTACGACTTTCCTTTTGGTCTCGATTCTTCATCAATTGATACTTTTGCGCCCGTTCGCGTTCGAGCGATTCCTCACGCCAATCGTGCGCCAACGACGTAATGTTAATTTATTCTTCTTATTTGGTCTGGTCTGGTCTTGGCCTGGAGTTGGCATGAGTCGTGACCTCACCAAGATACGCGGGCCCCTCTTTTCACTTAATCATTCCCACACATTAAACACCTACCCTGGAAGGACGGATGTGCTTGGTCGCTTTATGCAGCATTCGAAGAGTTTCAATCGACCAGGAGTAATATAGGCCACCCACCATATGTATATATGTAGGTGATCAGAGGTGTCTTGCATACGGAGAACACGGTAGTAGTTTCGATCTGTGATTGCTTGCATGCTTCTGCAGAAACAGGTCGAGACGTGGATGCTCGGAGTGCATCTTTTTCAAGTTCCAGGGTCCCGGCCATGCATTTGGAGTCGGCTCACCTCTTTCATCAAATAGATGGGGCGACCAGAAAGTACCTCATTTGTTCACCAGTTCAAACGGCCCCGACTTGGAGGCTTTCGCACGTCTTTAGATGCGGAACGGCTCGTGGAGATTTGCTTACATAAGAAGATTGTATGGCAGAGGAGTCTCCACGAGTCATTCCGCGTCTCAAGAGATTCAAGCTGGAAAAATACCCACATCTTCAGGGTCTCGGCGGAACGGGGCCAGCGACCCATCAAATAAATGCCTATACGGGGTCTTCCGGCAAATCTCGTGGGTGTGGAACTTTGTTCAGAGAGCTCATTTCCGCATGTCAATTCCTTATCGACTTATCGATACGTATTCGCAGGCAATCGCGGAGCTTTCTTACCGGTGTCCATCACCAAAGCAACTCCATCACACCGAGGACACGCCTTGCGGTTGACTTGCGCCCTTGTGCTGGGTCTCCAAGGACCATGTTGAAGAATTGACCAATAAGCATGTCCATCGTCGCGAGTAGAGGGGGGCCCAAGGCTGGAACTGGGCCGCCTTGTAAGATGTGGTTTTGCTGGCTAACTTCGGCTAATTGGAATCTGCACAGTTGCCAGCTTGGAGAAGCTGCTGAAATGGCTTCAGTTAAGACGCCATCGGCCGAGACTGACCGAAATCGTGACGTAGGTTGACTCAACCTTCACATTGCCCACCACGACATCTCTTGAGCCGAAATCAGGATTTAGATCCCATCTCTTTACTTGGTTAAATACTTGAATTCACCGCCACCTCGCACATCATCACATCTCACTCAACATCACACCACCACCACAACACCGACTTACATAAACCAACAAAGGCCCAACAACCCCCAAAATGCCCACCGAACTCCCCTTCGTCACCCTCGACGTCTTCACAACTACCCCCTACCGCGGCAACCCTCTCGCCGTAGTCACCATCCCGTCCACCCTCAGTCCTCCTCCCACCCAAGCCCAAAAGCAAGCCATCGCCCGAGAATTCAACCTCTCCGAGACCGTCTTCATCCACGATGTCGCCAACCCTGAAACCACCAAGACCCGCAACATCGACATATTCCTGCCCTTTGCAGAGATCCCCTTTGCAGGCCACCCAACCATCGGCACCGCCGTCTCCCTCCTCGACCAGGGCGTCGACACGCTCGTCACCAAGGCTGGCCCCATTCCCCTGAAGCAGACGGGCGAGCGTTTCGTGCAGGCCAGCATACCGCACAACGTGCACGTCCACGCCAAAACGGCGAGGCAGCTCGGGCCCGGGAACCTGTACTCCGTGGAAAGGCTGCAGGCGGATGACGAGATTCGCGAACGGGAGCTCAGTGCCCCCGTGGTTAGTATCGTCAACGGCGTCACTTTTCTGTTGATCAAGCTGGAGAGTTTGGAGCAGCTGGCAAAGGTGCAGCAGACGGGTGTCGAATTCCCACCCGAGGAGCTGCTGGACGAAGGTTGGAAGAAGGGATTGATTGCGAGGCTTTACTTCGTCAAGACGGGGGAGAAGAAGGACGAGTCCGGCTCGCCGGTGCAGGTGCTTCGCACAAGGATGATGGAACACTCATTCGAGGACCCGGCTACCGGGTCCGCGGCGTGCTGTCTCAGCAGCTATCTTAGCATCGAGGGAGACAAGCAGACTACTCCCAAGCGGCGATATGAGATAACGCAGGGCGTTGAAATGGGCAAGGAGAGCAACATTGTTGTCGAGGTGGAGATGAAAGACGACAAGATTGACAATGTGCAGCTGGCTGGTACCGCTGTTCAGGTCATGCGTGGGCACGTCTTATTGTAAGCCGCAAACAAGACTGAATGAACACGGTAGTAGCGCGAGCAGTCTTGGTAGACAAAAAAAGAGTTGCAATTCAACTAGTATGTGCGTTTCTACTTTGCTCCGGCTAGCCTTTTCCCCCGGAAACAACCTCCCCAAAGCCAACTCCCGCGCCGCATGCTGATTCTTGACCAAAAAAGAACAAAATGATACGCCGTGATATTTGACCTCCGCACTACATCATGGCAGACGCCCGTCTATCGTACATTAGTACAGGTATTACAGCACACTTCAGCCCCCGTGTACCCCGTCTCTATTTCCCCCAAAACAAAGACAAGTCGCGTGTACTCGGCTCTGAGTCATATCCATTCCTAAATCATGCTATTCTTGTTGTCGTTGTTCCCGTTCAAATTAGTCACAAATATGGACACGATGTCTTCTTGGATTCCCTGAATCTTGCGCCGCCCGAGTCTTTACGGCGTTACTACTCCATTAAAAGTTTGGGTGCACGTTACTGCTCTCGTGACATGCACACCAAAGTAACCCCAACTTAAGCTCTTTGAAGAGCAGCAGCGAACCGATCTGCGACCTAAATGTCATTCGTTGGTTAGCAATCTTTTTGCCCGGTTCTCAAAGGGTCAGTGCTGTTTCGGAGCGTACCTCTGGGGTTGATTTAATAAAAGGAAGGTCAAAGAACATGTACTTTTCGTTCTTCACAAGTTCCAAAACCGTCAACATGAGACCCCATGGCTGAGGCCAGTATCCAACCAGTCGCTCCAGAAACACTCGGGTAATCTCCTGACGAATGTCTGACTCTTCAGGATCATTAAGATCCTTTCCAAAAATATAGAGAAGGACCTGGCTGAAGAATTCTGTAAGACTATTCGGGAATCGTAGTTGATTCACCATGCTGGCAATCAAGTAGTACCTAGCCTCTGGAGCCAGTTCATGAATGAGGAGTGACAAAGTTGATACCTCTGGCTCGCTGCCGGTAACCGAAATCGATGAGGATGTTTGGGATAGTCGTTCGGCGGCTTGGTTGCCAATATAAATGACGACGGAGCCGATGACGTGTGGGTTAGCCGCAACGCCGATATGCCCGTACGCAGTTTCTTGCGGCTCGCTCTGTGTCATGGCATGGGCAATCTGGGCAACAACGTCTTCCGAAGGACCGACCTGGAGAGTTTGATCTACCAAATCCAATAACCCACCTTCTTGCAACATTGATTTGGCTTCTTCAATCAAGCCAGGATATGTCTTGATTTCCTCCTTTCCATCGGGCAATTTGGTATATCCCTGTTGGGGATTCGCCGAGAGCACAGCGTTGAGCAGCTGGGTGCAATGTGGAGGAATGCTGGCGCAAAGCCTGACGTGGTTGCCCGCGACGAAGTCGGGGAAATCATGCTGCAGGACAACCAGAAGTTTGAGAGTTGCCCTATAGACTTCTTTTGATACGGTCAAAATATTGAAAGCCTTCAGCTGTTCACTGAGGCTGTCAAGAAGCTGGACCACGAGATTGGCGTAGAGGCCCCATCCAGCATTGTCCAGCATTTGCAGTATGACGGGCAAGAAGACCCGGTGTTGGATGAGAGAGAGCCATCCGAAAGTGAAACCAGGGAGTCGCAGAGGGCCCAAGTCATTGAATCTAGCGGCGAATTTCAGCATCATGTTACGCTGTTCCTGCTCTGAGAGGTTCTCAGATTCATTGTGCACCTCATGCAGTAACATTGACAACAAGCGGAAGAATACTCTCTGATTCAGTTGTTCGCCTCTCTTGACATGATGGTGGTTGAGAACTAGCGTAATCAACACCAAAACAGAGTCAAGGAATGAAGCACGAGAGGTTGACGCATCCTCGTTCCTGCTAATGAACATGCTGATAAGTTTGGCAAGGGCATCCACCATCACATATGCATCGCCTATAGCACCGGCATGGAGAATATGCTCAAATCGGTCAACAGACAAGTCAATGGCAGTCCGAACGAAGACGAAAAAGTCATTTTTATCCCGAATAACTTGCTTGGCTTGCAGCTGCTGAATGAAGACGGCGGTGGATTTGTCGAGTGCGTTCTGGTTGTTCCAGAGATGGACCCATTCTTCAAACACATACTCCATTTGGTCTTGTCGGAAGGCTGTTCCCTGACTTTCCGCGTCTGTAGGGCCACGGGATGGTTGAGGCAGTCCTGAGCCCATCAGCTTCGTCTTCAACCTCTGTCCAGCGGCACTGTTAGGGTCTTCAGATATCCAAGCCCAGGCGGTTTCTAGTGTTCGAACAAAGTCGGCGTATAGTGCGATTGGGCGGTTGTTGAGTAATGCGAGGTCAAGCATGTGTTCAAGGAATTCGAGTGAGCCATCCTTACGGGTTTCGATGGCCTTGGACATTGCCATGTCAATATTTCTCCAATCAAGCAAGTCGGTGCGGATGAGCGCAGCAAGGAGTTGCAGACTCAAAAAGTTCGATCCCGGCTGCTGGCTGAAAAGGGCACGCACACGGCTATTCAAAGCATGGCCAGAAATTTTCCTAAGTGTTTCCAACACATGAACCAGACTTTCGAGCGTCAGGTTATCCTCGAATTGTTGGAAGATGAGCGCACTAATCTGCTCAGCGGCGTAAATGGCAAATTCCTCCGAGTTCTGAGAGGTCTTGATGATCAACTGAACAAGAGCATCAACAACGTCGAGGACAATATGTGGTCTGGGCAGATCCAAAAAGTGATCCTCCCGAGCCTCGCCTGCCACTCTCAGCAGTTCCTGGAGCAATCTATTTACTTTATCAGCCAGCCCCCGAACATCCATCTGATGAAAACCAGCATTGCGCCCACTGGGTATGGCGTTGGCAGCAGCGGTCTGCACTGGTGCATAAGGCTGCATCTGTGTGCCTAAATGCTGGATTGAAGGGGTCTCTGCGGGCGTGGGAATATTGGGAATATTTGTGTACGGTTCCTGGAGCACTTCGTTGGCCAGAGTTCGTGTTGCGTCTGAAGCTGATGTAGCGTGCGAGGGCGCTGCGGCTGGTGTGGTTCGAGATTGTCTAGCAAAATCTTCGTAAATAGCCATTTGCTCTGGATTCAGACCGTTCGAGGTGGGAGACAACTTGAATGGATTTGGGATAGTCATTGCCCAACGGTTCACAGTAGCTGCAAAGAACGGCTCGTTGGGGTGTTGCAAGCGATGTCGTCGTCTGGTCTCAAGATCTGATTCAATCATATCCTCAATTTCCGGTACAGCTCGTTCCTCTGCCTGCTTTTCGATAATGCTGAGGGCAAGGTCGAGATTGCTGTTTACGCACATGATGATGGTGCCTTCAGGAAGTCCGGATGTATGCTCATTGGACAAGTTGCGCATGTGGTTGGTCAAATTGGCCCGCAAGGGCTCTTTTGAAGTCACCAAAGCGAGGCCGCCAGCGGTCGCCTTGACCATGCTTATCGCGGATGCGCGCATACGGTTCTCATCTGGTTCTGCCACAAAGTCCTTTCGAACCATTTGAGCCGTCGATATCGCCGCGATAGTGACGGATCGATCTACGACGGGCTGGATTATGTCTTGCAGCGCTCGGGTCATAGCGTTTCGGACAATTTCGTGCAGTCGTGTCGTGCTGATAACCATTTCATTGGTAGGTGGAATAGTGATCAGAGGACCCAGATCAGGAATAGTAGCCGCCACGGCCTGGGTTGATATGCCCGCGCCAACAGAAGACCCAAGTCCGTTCAATGATATATTCTCAAATGCTTCCAGTTGCTCAGGACCCAGTACCTCCGTTGACTCCTCTAAAGCGGGCCGATTTAGAATTTCACCTGACGGCTCGATGCTCTTGTGGTCGAGGTTCAGACCCTTGCAGAGGACCTCGATCTCGAATTTGAGGTTAAGCTTCAACTCGGCATGATGATATAATTCAATCAACAGGTGAATGATGTCCATAAGCCAAGGGTTCGGGGGCCGGAAGACCGTAGACTTGGCACCCTGGGTGAGAACCTTGCAAACGAAAGGAATGATGATGATGAGCCTCTTCGTATCGTGGGCCTCGATGAGCAGCTGCTTGAATGCAATGTTTCTATGCCGGATTGGGCGATCTCTGGCCAGAGTCAGCAAGCCGAGCCAACCACCCAGGTTCTTCAGATGTGTTCGCTCGGTGGAGTTTTGCATTGTCGCTTCCGAATTCAACATTCTTGAAACGCTGATGTATGTTTCCCGGAGAACCTCATCCCATAGCGCTTTGTCTTGTAGAAGAGTAACAAGCTCTAGATAAACGTGGTGATAATTAGGCTGCATTTTGGCACGTTCTTCCACCAGGTGACTGGCAAACCACTGCTGATGCTTGCACTCAAGCATCTCTCGTAACTCGTTTCGCATAGACTGGATAGTCCCTTCAGTAATGTTGTTTAACACAAACTGGATCTTGCCCTGCTCTTCTTCGCCTGGTTCTTCAAACTCAAATCCAGGGGGGATGGGATCAACGCCAATTGCAGTAAAAGGTGGAGCTTGCGTGTCGGCTCCAGGTTGCTCCTCAGAGCTACCATTCGTAAAAGTATCGGATTTGAATGCCAGCGCAAGCGGTGTGCCAGCTCCATTGCGGGAGTGAACAAGATCTCCTTCATGATCATGGACAGCATCTTCAGCCCTCTTAAAGGCTTCGGTACCTTGAAGACCTGGTATTTGCAGCAATTGTCTGCAAAAACCTGGCCACTCCTGGAAACGGACGTAGAGTTGTATCAGGGCCTGGAGACCAAACTTATACATTGGCTTGTCAAGTGAGTGATCTCGGACGGCTTCTAAGATCATACCAAGTCCAATCTTCAATGGTAGGTCTGATATTAACTTGTGAGAGATAATGCCACCAAAGAGCACAGCAGTTGTAGCCAACGCCTCCAGGGGATAATCTTGATAATGGTTGTACTCATCAAACAAGCCATGGATCATGCAGGCGAACGTGTCTTGATCTAAAGGATCTCGGGAGTGCTTGTATTCCCTCAGGATGTCCACAATGGTGCGCACATCTTCTTCGCCTCCATACATTTTCTTATAATGATCTTCCATTTTGCTGTTAGCTGTGGCCGGCAAGCTATTACCATCTTTCCCATTTTCATCGATAACATCATCGTAACCTTCGCCATAATTGATCAATCGAGGGTATGCCGTGATACAGAGACGCTGAACCATGATAAGGTCTTGCACGGGTGCCTTGGGCAAGAAGTCCTCCAGAATTTGTAAGAGAGCCGACACTGTACGAACTTGAAGGCTGGTACTTGATTTCGCTGGCGGTTGGCTGTCAGATGGCCGTTGATACCGTATCTCTAATTCTGCTTTGATTAAGAGAAACTGCAAAAGTGTCCTAGACATTTCCACACTTCTCTCTGCGTTAATGCTTGCCCAGTTGCTCAAGTCCAAGTAGCCCTCGGTATGAGCTAAAGCAGCCATGTCGACGCCAAAGCCGTTTGGGAGGTAGACCAGAACGTCGAGCCAGTTATGCCGCAATGCGTGTTCAAAGATGAGGGGAAGATCCACGGGTTTAACCGCATGGGCGTCAATCAATCGTTGAATCACCCATTCTTTGTCCTTCCTCCACAGGCTGTCCAAAACAAAATCATACTCAGGGGACCGTTTGTATAAAAAGTTTTCGAACAGTGAAGTTACAGTATCCACGGCCATTGGGGCCCAAGTGTCTCGTGGAACCTCAAGAGCAGACACCAAGAAGATGTCCAGGTTCGGGACAACGACTTCCTGAAATAACCGCTTGGCCTCAACGCTCTGCGACGCGTGGACAGAGTTTAATGCAACGTTGAAAATTGCGGAGAGAGCAGCGACAGACACTAGTGGGTGTTTGACTGCTGCTGCTGCTCTCTCTCTCACGTTTGCCGGAGAATTGACATAATCCTCGATCGAGATACTTCTCTTCAAGCCAGGAATGGTTGTTGCATCCAGTTGATTTGGTGCCAAAGATGCATACGCACTGACAAAAGATAGCTGAGCTTCTGGTTCACTCCAAGACCCTCCCCAAAGTCTCTGGATTTCGAAGTTGTATTTCGATTCGTTTGCAATTGGTAGCAATGCAGTATAAAGTCGAAGGAATTGTGAGGACGAAATTCGTGCGGACGGCTGATCGAAGAACAAGACCGTCTCATTCCAATCAAAGGATTTTGGAAGCACCCGTTGAAGCGCAGAAACGAGAACAGTAGGGTTGTGATCGGGTGATTGGCTAATTGTGGCATATGTGAGGGCGGCGGAGACTTGTTCGGAATTAAGCTGGATGTTATTAGGTCGACTTTGTAGATACAAAAGACAAGCCTCTTCGTCCCTAGTGAACTCGGAGCCAGTCTTTTGAACGTATCTTGCCAGGGCATTCGCAGGCCGATCAGCTAAAACTCGACCGATGTCTAGCGCTGCTAAAACTTCAGATGGAGGGGCCTGGTCGACACTGAGATATCGCTTGGTTACGTAAATCTGTAAATCACGTCGAGAGGAGGCGTTGAAGCTGGGGGGATGGTATTGTATGAATCGGTCGACCACGAGAGCTACGAAGGCTGGGGATAGGTCCGCGTGTGCTTCGATGTCAGGACGCGAAATGATATCCAGAAATGTAGAAAAATTTGCAGACAAAATGGCATCAGCTGTCGCATCAGCCCCGTAGAGCGTTGTGTCAGTACAGTATGATTGATAGGTGTTTGCTGGAGCTTTTGCTTTGCAGCGTAAGTGTTCATACCTTTAGTTTTCAGGTCCGAGCGCGGTCCAGTTTTGAAGGCCAAGGCCAGAAGCGTCTTCTCTAATGCATCAAGCTTGAAGTTGTCCATGAATGTCGAGAGATCAAAATCCCGGAAGATATCCTCGGTTCCACTCTCGACCGACTCGGCTATTTTCCTGGCCTGATCTGGCTCGTGTGCAATCTTTCGCATTTCGGCCACAAGGATATGGTAATTGCCAGAACCTGTGACCGGCCGATTGAGGCTGGGAAATATTTGGGAGGCATTTCCGGCAACTAGCCGGGTGAAGTATTTTGAAAAAACTTCCATTCCGTTCTCATCGATGAGCTTTTGTAGCTGAGCACCCTTAGAATCCCACTTGACTTCCTCCTTTTCTTCCTTGATAGTACTTAGTAAAAGGTAGACTTGTGCGACAACAATCTTCGCCACAGAGCTGGGCCCTGTCGGACTGCTAGTGCTGGGGCTTGCGCCAGCACTGAGGACACCAGCGTGCGATGGGTGGGGAGAATGATTACTTCCAGTTTGGAGAGTCTGAGCTGGATTTGGAGAAAATGATCCCGTTCTTTGCGGAGGGACCATGGAGGTATACTAGCAGCAATCAAGATTTGGTTGTGGAGCGCCTGCCTGTGGAGTTTTGGCAGGCAGGTAGGCTCAGGGACGAGGGACGTTATAGTCGTAGGAAGAGGATCGTCAGGAGAGTTCCTACATGGGGGTTGATTCGTTTTGTAGGCTTGTTCGCGGTACGACGGCAAGATAGTCGTAGGTGAAGCTGTGGTGGACGCGATCCTACAGCTAGGATGGCAGATTTGATCGTTGTTGCTGGAGTCGGTCTGAACAATTCGTTACAGCACTGTCGGTTTAACGCTTCAGGCGAGGGCGAGTCGCGAAGGAATGCTGCAGGATTGGAGAGCTTGGGGGGGCAAGCTCCGCGGCAGTTCAACAATCGTGATCGTCGTCGTCAGAATACGGGAGACCGTGCGTGATGCAGCTAGGAGCGGAATTCGATGTTGAGAGGGCGGTGATTAAGTGGTGGGTTGTGATAGTTGTCGGGCAGTGAGGACGAGGCAAGGCGTTGTACAGAAATCGATGCACGAGAGCGGCGGTAAGTTCCGCCGAGCCCTGGAGCAGGGGCTTCCCGAAGCTCGGGCTGAAGTGATCACGTGAGCATGCGAGGCGTTGCCCTGCCAACGATCGGGAGCTAGCTGGGCATGCAACCCCAACATTGATCCCAGTGGCATTCCGCGATTGTAAGTGCGGCACCTCTCTTGGAGCACACAACTGCGAAGAGAAAGGCAACCTATATGGTGTAACTATTAATCGAATGTTTCTATTTGATCTGTCTTTTTGATTATTTTCATCATTTATTTCTTAGATATTAGAATCGCTAGGGATCACCATCCCATACCCGGGCAAGATGCCTGCCCCAACCGTTGAAGCACCAGCGGTCTCGCTGTCCTGTGAGTACAATGTCATGACGGCATTTGGAATCAAGCCACTCTAATGGTCTCATATCACAGTTGCAAACAATTTCTGGGGTAAGGAAGATGCGGGAGTCGGGCCGCTTCTGGAGCGGATGCAAAGTGCAAAGACTACATCGGACGAGCTTAAGTCATTCTATAGTGGTACGATTGTTCAAAACTACCTCTTTGAGTAAACGCTGATGCTCTAGGAACTCTAGCTCGCGCATCAATTGAAGACGAATATGCTAGAAAGCTACTGCACCTCAGCCGAAAGTCTCTGGGCTCCCACGAGATGGGCTCTTTAAAGACATCATTGGATACTGTCAGAGTGGAGGTGGAGTCAATGGCCAAACAACACCAGGGTATCGCCGCCCAGATGAAGTCAGAGTTGGAAGAGCCATTGGCGGCATTTGCCGGCGGCATGAAGGAAAGACGGAAGATTGTGCAAAATACGGTTGAGAAGCTGCTCAAAACCAAAATCCAGCAGACGCAACAGGTGAACAAGGTAGGTCTTTGCGTATCCTACGGGACAAATTTCCAGAATAAAATGCTGATGGTTTTCGATTTGTCAGACTAGAGACAAGTATGAGCAAGAGTGCCTGAAGATCAAAGGCTACCTAGCCCAGGGACACATGGTGATGGGACAGGAAGAGCGTCGTAACAAGGCAAAGCTGGAGAAGACGCAAATCTCTCTGGCCACTGCAAACACTGAATACGAGAGTGCCGTGAAAATACTGGAGGAGACTACAGCCAGGTGGAACCGAGAATGGAAGGCTGCGGCAGACAAATTCCAAGACCTCGAAGAGGAGCGTCTGGACTTCAGCAAGAGCAGCCTGTGGACATTTGCCAATGTTTCCTCCACAGTTTGCGTTAGTGATGACGCATCATGCGAGAAAATCAGGTTATCACTTGAGAACATGGAGGTGGAGAAGGACATCATCCATTTCATCACAGAGAGAGGAACAGGCCAAGAAATCCCTGATCCCCCAAAGTACATCAACTTCTGCCGAGGTGATGTCAATGATGGCCAGTCTGAAGTGTCAGAGGATGATAATTACTCCGTGGCCCAGTTCCCACGAAGCATCAACCCAGCCTTCCGATCCTCTTCACCTCAACCATCAACTTTTGAATCTCACCACGACCCGAACTCCATGCTGGCAAACAACTTGGCACACAGGGAACCCAGGGAGCCCCCGCAGCCAACCAGCCGCGAGGCAATAGTGACGCCTCAGAAGGCGCCTCCGCCAATGCGAAACTCTGTGGACGAACAGCGTCGAGGACAGGGACAGCAAAAGCCGCCGCAGTATGATGTAAATCAGCATGGCCCTCTAGCTGCGGTCCCTCATGATCCCTATCCTATGGACGGCATGACGATGCTGTGTCGAACTGGGCCTCCGGGTCCCCAGTCGGACCGCAGCTCACAACCACATTCGGCTCGACCCTCTAGCCGTGAATCTCACAGCGACTATTCTATTCCTACTTCCCTGTCCAGTGTTGAACCTCCAAGCGGACAGGCCTCGCCCGTGAAGCAAGAACCCGTGGAAACTCGGAGCCCAGAGAAGCGAGTACTGAAGAAGAAGAGTGGTTTCTTTCAGAACCACAGTCCATTTCGCCGGAAAAGCACCAAAGAAGTGCAAGCTCCGTCCCAAAACCGAAGCACGTGGCATGTTGCTCCGGGCAGAGCAGAGTTGGTGAGTCTATGTTTCCTCGGCTACACTCTTCCGTGGAGATTAACTTTTCGATAGGAGCGTACTGCAAGCCCTGAGCCTATTGACGCAAATGCAAGCCTGGCTTTGGGTGTCGGTCAGAACGTGCTTCCCGTCACTACGCCTGACACTCGCAGACGACCTGGCCAGGGGCGTGAACAAGACGTTGATCAATCAGACCCCATTGCCATGGCTTTGGCGGAATTGAAGGATGTCAATCTGGGTAAGCAGTCATCACTTAGGATGTCTGCGGACCACTATCATGGCATAGCTACCCCAGCTCCGGGAGCAGATCCAAGATCTGGTAGACCCAGTGGTCGTGAAGCACCCCCTTCGTACAATACTCAAGCTTCCGTCTCCCGACTGGGGGTTCCACCACCCGCCGTTACTTCTCGGGCTATGAAGGAAGCAACAAAAAAAGCGACGGATCAGAGCCGTGCTGTCTATGGCAATGCCGGAAATCGTGGCGCATCGCCGGCATCGCGACCCGCGACTCGTGGGAGCGATATGCCTCGGGCTGCCTCACCAGCACCCACTCGCAGCGCATCTCCTCAGCCCCGGATGAGCGGCGACTCGCGGTACCGGTCTGCATCTCCGAACCCGTACAGTGGTCATCATCGAAATGCATCCCAGGTCAGCGTATCTCAGCAGCGAGGATCAAGCCAGGGCTACTATGGATCGGGATCCCCCCACGGATCAACTCGGGGCTCTGTTCGGGGTGCTTCTCCGGCTTCATTTAGAGGAGATTACGACAGACCTCGTAGCAGCTATGGTGGTGGATCTGACATGGCTGTGCAATTGGCCCCGGCTGGAGATGATCGCTACGGCTCTCAGAGAGGCAGAGGTGCCGTTGACCTATACGACGGGGGATCACGACCTCGCAGCAAGAGCGTTGCTGATCCCTCCAGACAGTACACGCGAGATGGTAGACCCATCTTGCATTTCGGTAGGTTCTTCCCCAAAGCTGACAGAGATTTTGGCTAATGATTTGAACAGCTCGAGCTCTGTACATGTATCAGGCCGCTATTCCCGAGGAGCTTGGATTTGCCAAGGGCGACTACTTGGCCGTACTCCGCCACCAGGATGATGGCTGGTGGGAAGCCGAGGTCCATGGCGGCAATGGACGGGTTGGGCTGGTCCCCAGTAACTATCTTCAACCGTGTTAGATGGACTCCCAGATATAATGAATGTTGTACATATTGTCATGGTATGGAATGCATGACGAATCACTGCGAGTAGGATGACGGCTCTGTATATGTTCTGTTGGTTATGTATGTGGTAAGTGCCGGAGGTTTACGCTCGCTTTGGAATAAGGGAATAATAGTGTATCTGGGGTCACGCAAATAGCTGGGATTGAGCTTAGATTGCAAATTGTATTTTGATTATCATTGATGAGCTGGGGATATGACTTGAAGTAAGGTTTTTATAGGAGAGATGATGGCACTGACTACCTACTAGGTACGTAACGTATTGTTAGTAAATGCAGCCTCCCTCTCGCATGACGAATAATGCGTCCACATAAATAATGCCTAGCCGGCCGGCACAGCTTGAAGAGCGTCGCCAGGTATGCCCTTGTGGTTGACGCGAAGAACCAGATCGTTTGCAGGGGTAGCCCATGTATCTGGGAAGGTGGCGTATCTGCCTACCTACTTAAGTACCTAGAAAGGTAGGCATATCCCTATTCTTTTTCAGAATTGGCTTTACTTGACGTCTTGTGTATAGAGCATCTTGTTGAAGATCGGCGAGGTGGTGGAATTGTGTCGAGTACCTCTGCATCTACGTCCGAGCCGTCAACCTACTTGTACCTGCGCATCCAGTAGATCGTCTGTTATGCGCAATCACATGGAGAGCTATCGTTATATGCCGGTTAGGGTCAAGAATTGACGATTTCTCGCGTTGCAGGGTTAATATCGTGGTTGAGAGCGTTGGCATGCCTCTCGCTGTCTTTTACGCCGGTGCTTTGGAGTCATGAATGAGCATGTACGAGATACTATCTACTTAGATGTATTCTATGAAGAAATTCAACGAGTTGCGGCTGAATGAACTTGAGCACGGAAGTGCATTCCTAGAAGACTATGTGATAATCCGAGCCAACAGAAATGTTACATTTATGATTTTCGCTTTCAGTGTGATTGATTATCATCCAGAGACTTGAAAAGACATGCCAGTTCATCTCCAACAAGACACAACATCTCATCTTCATTCCAAGTTTACATGCAGCTATCCCAATCACAACACAAAGCATTGTCTACATTCTTGGGCAAGATATGCTTAAATTTGTTCCTATACGTTTATTTTCTGTAACCAATTCCCCAACCTCGAGCAAGTCAAGGTAAATGGCTGGGCGACTGCCTGGATGATACTAGCTCTTCATATCCTGGTGTATTTAATTCAATAGCAACACATGCCAATCCCGCTGACTCTTGCGGGCTATATGCCCTTGACTCTAGATTTCATTCCAGCATCGGTAATATGCCTCATGGTTCGTGGTTCCTTGGTGTGTGTCAAATCTATGCCGTCGCTGATAATGTTACGTTTGTCTTCCCGGGAAAGAAGAGGACGGCAGCCACATCTTTCGCTCGTCAATGCAAAAGACTTGGAGTCTTTGTGCAAGTGAGAGTATCATGGACAATTCTCACGCGAGCATAATTGTGAAACACACTGCTGTCCAAACAGAGCGGTCACAGCTCTTCTTCCTCGTCCACCTTGGATGGTGGTGTTGTCGTTGTCGTTGTAGACGTTGTAGCTGGCGCAGACGTTACAGAGACAGCGGCATCTAGGGCCGCACTCAGACTTTGTGTCGTGCTCAGTTTCTCTCCCGTGTTCGTGACGTCCACACTGGGTCGAGCCTTCTTCAGTGGACTCCCAATGAGAGCGTCTACGGGTACATCGCTCCCACTTTGGACAAAACTAGGTGGTTGAAGGCTCGGCGGTACCTGAGGCACTGGACTGTCTTCGGCCTGGCCTCGCTGAGAGGTCTCTGGAGTTGAGTGGCTGTCTGGATCAGCCGAATGCGCCCGCTTGAGCTGTGTCTCTCTGTTAGTGAACAGCGTTCAAGATACAAAGCAAAAAAAGGGCATTCCGCAATACACCTACACGAATACGATTGACACCATCTGCAAGTTCACCTCCAAACTTGGAGTCCTCAGAAGCTTCCTTCTCTTCGCCATCTTTGTCATCATCATCCATCTTATTAAGGTTATCCGTGCTGTCATCGTCGTCGTCGTCGTCATCGTCACTATCTTCAGCAATATTTCCGTTACTCTTCTTTCGTGCCTTTCTTCGCCTGGTCGTTTCAGTGGTCTGATCACGGAATGCAGAGAACCCAACCGTCCCGCCAGCCTTGAGGGGCCCTAGATTGGAGAAGTCTAATTGACCAGACCGTCTTTTAGCGGAACCGGGGGTGGCTTGAGGGTTCTTTGAAGACTGCACGACGCCGATTTTTTGCAATTGCCCTAGTAAAGCACAACTGTTAGTCCGTCGGGAAAGAGACGCAAATTAGAAGTGAGAAAACGTACTGTCACCTCTGTAAAAGAAGGTGAACACCGCATAAGGTCTATCGGGGCCATCTATTCCCGTCACCGTCTGAGTACTAATCGTCTTGGGATCGAGTGTTTTCGGTTTGGCAAAGCTCGTGGTGTGCTCAACATCGGCGCCGACGTTTTCACCGTTCCCAGTTTCCTCATCGCCGTCGTGAGCGTCAAACTGAGGGGAATATTCGCCCTTTTTTATTTCACCAGAGGCCAGGACTCGGAACATGGCCACCTTGATCTGGCCCGTTGCCTCGGGGGGTTCGTCGTCATCATCGGACCACGAATCGGAATCAAATACTGCCTCGATTGGTGAAGCATCGTCCGCACCGTACCGCAAAGTATCCTTTTGGCCACCAGAGGTATCCGTGCCTGTACCTGCTTCCTGTACCAGCGTCTGTCGCCGCCTTCGTTTTTCAAACTTTTGGCGGCGCTTCTCCAGCTTCTCTGCAGCGTCATGGCCTTGTAGATCAAGCCCGTTCAGCCAACGCTCCAAGCCAACCTCGCGGAATAAGAACTCTCGTTCGGCCAGTCCACCGCCTTCGGCATCAGGAACTTGGACCCAACGACTATTCACCCACGTCTCCTCGCCTGGCCGTAGGAGAGTGGCGACTTCCTCTTTGGCTCGGCCATCAAAGTAAATATAGGCGGCAATCGTCTCGTTCTCCGAGTTCGTCATGGGAATATACGGGTTCACCATGCCACCAAATTTGGGTCGGTCGCGGCCAGAAGCAGGTTGGAGGCTGCCCACATACTGAGGCTTGGGATACGGATTGCTGTCAGTAGGCTTGGGAGCCGAGTACGGAATCGCAAGGCCAGCAGTCAGCAGGGTGATGGAGATGGCAAACTTGGCGGGCTCGGGCTTGTTCGAATCTGCCGTCAGGTTCGGCTGAGGCACGGGGATATAGGTACTGATGCGGGAGACTCTCGACTGCTTCTGCATGCCGTATTCAGGAAGCGGGGCGCCATTTGCGTGAATGCTCACCGCAATGCCCTTGAAGCAGGGCATGGTGGTGGGAGATGACCGACTGCGGGGAGTGTCAACGCGTCTCGACCAGATGCTTCAGATGGTAAGAGACCGGTACGGGCCGGCGGATAGGTCGTTGGGCGTCGTCTTTGCGCGATACGGCTCGCCTCACGGAGGGGAGACGGTGTGAGGCGGTAGAGCTTGGAGTAGTTTAGGATGAGAATTGGAGCTCTGTGAAGATGACCGAGTGGTGACGTTCAGCGTGCAGCCATCCCCAATACAGCACACGACCCGAAAAATGAGCAGGAGGCGGGACGTGCAGCGGCCGTTTGGCGTTGTCGTTTAGTCGAGGAAGAGGACGACGTGGAGTGGTAAAATATGCAAGACGAGGCTGCTGCACCGTAAAACCGTCGGACGCAACGACATGGATTTTGGGGGAGATGTTTAAATATTTGGAGCAGCCAAGGTTGCCGACCCGACTGGAGCAGGAACCAGTTGCAGCCAAAGTCCCAATCAAAGGTCACAGTCACACGCACGCACGCACACACCAGTACGCACACACAGAGAGAGAGAGCAAGAACAGTGCCGGACACGAGCGAACAAACATTCAACGATGCAAATTGGTGGGTGACGACTTCAGGGCTCGCTGGGGGGGCACTGTGGCCTCGACCTGACAGTTGAGCGGTCTGGTGGACAGGGTTGAGCGCTCAGAGGAGCAATGAAGCACTGGAGCATTTAATGTTGGAGCAACGGAGCACTGCACACGCCAGGCAGCTATGAACATTGAAGCCGGCACTGGGAGCTGCCCCTCCAAGAGCGGACCAGTTGAGTCGGCGGCACTGGGCACTGAACTGCCCGAAGGGGGCGGCCCCCGTTGACACTCGCCCGTTTGTCGATTGGGCTCAACAAAGTTGTCAAGTTCTCCTCACTGATGAATGGTGCTCGGAGGTTCTGAGGGTCAGGTCCTGCTCCGGAAGGCGTCTGGTGAGTGGCTAGCTTCGCAGGTACTTACATACTAAGTACTCTAAGTAAGTAAGTACTAAGTACTAAGTACCTAGGTACCTAACGCTGTGTAAGTAAGTATGCACTTGAACCTACAGTCTCTGGCAGAATATTATGTGTAGCCCATCAAAAGTCCTGTAGCTTGTACACGAATGTACTCTGGTATATCATGGTATCGAACGCGATGCCAGGTACTGATCTGGTCGAATACTTGCAACGAATTGCCCAAGCGCAGTGGGACTGGCACTGCAGGTCTGGTGTCTGGCCCAATCCCGCTCCAAGCCCCTCCAACGCAAGTCTCAGAACTCGACGGACCACCATCCCATTGATCCGGCAGTGCGGCTCGATCCGCTGGCTGTTGCTTGCTTTGACCGGCTCCGAGGCCCGTCTGTTTGGTGACCCCGTATCAAACTTGTGATTGGCTGCACTGAGAACGTTGGGCTTCACCTTCACAGGAACCAGCTCGTAATGGTCTCTGTGTCTAGCCCCAGCTTTCAAAGAAGAATTGAAAAAGAGAGAAAGCAAAGAAACAAAGCGAAATCCTGCATCAAAAAACAAGGCATGAGTTAAACTCTACCCGTGGTTCACACCCTGTGAACACGAACGCATAAAAGAAAACGAAAGAAAGCCAGCATACAGACTATCACTAGGGCTGAAACTACTTTAA